ACCACACCTGAATTACCTGGAGTGCTTATTTAGGGTACAGGCTTCTGAACCCCTACCCTAGAGATTTTGATGCAGAACATCTGGGTGGGCCTGGGAATCTGCATGTTAAATTAGCTCCTCTGCTGATTCTAAGGCAACCAAGGTCAAGAACCCTTGATCTATTCTATTTCGGGTTCTCTGAAGATCTTTTGGAGCTGTCCATGTGTCAGCAACGACAAACATTAATATTCAATCTAAGAAAGAAATGGAAAATTGTACTTGAGCCAAACTGAGAATTATAACCTGGGAGACAGTTTCTCAAAGAGCCCTGAGAACTATTCCAAAGAGGTAAGGGGTGGGGGGGACAGTATACGTGTGATCTGGGGGAAGTGGGTTTGTGCAATCAGGCACACAGCTTGGTATAAATTTGTTGCTGGTCACCAGGAACAGACATCTTTATTAACGGTTTTAGTGCACTTCTAAGTATGGGAAGATGCAAGAACCCACGTTCATTAAAAAAAAATCTCTCCTGAAAATATCTGACTATCTGAAGGCCTGTTCTGCCAGTTTTCCTGGAGCACAGAGTGCCTCGTTCCTGATCTCCACCCTGAACTCCTTCCAGGGCGCACTGTAGGTCAGTGACTGCAGTGGCTAATGACTTGATTCTTGTAGAACAAGGTGATGGGCAACATTCTTTATTTTATAATCTTTTCCCCTTTGATCTTAATTTCAACCACGGTTTGGGAGGCATATTGTGACCAATTTGTCCCACGGTGCTGGGAATGCTCGTTCCCAGGTCAGAGGAGGATTTCATTGATAGGCCGCTGATTGTGCTGTTACTGGACTAGGCCCCATTGACTGCAGCCACACTGTAGACCAGCTGTCTCACTAGTGTGTTATGGTCCAGGGCATGATTTCCTCTGTGGCTTCTCCCTGCATCTACAGGTGCACTGTTACTGTCATTGATCTTATATAGAACTGTATATCTGGTCAACTGCTTCAAGTTGCCTAGTCATTCTTTTATCAAAAGCACAGCCACATGTTTGGTAATGCAAGAAATTGAGTCTTTGGTCCTAGAGATGATCATACTGAGTGAAGTAAGTCAAACAGAGAAAGACAAATATTATATGGTATGACTCACATGTGGAATCTAAAAAAAGACACATATGAACTTATTTACAAAACAGAGAGTCCCAAACATAGAAAACAAACTTACAGTTACCAAAGGGGAAAGGGGGGAAGGGATAAATTGGGAGTTGGGATTTGCAGATACAAACTACTATGTTCAGAACAGATAAACAACAAGGTCCTACTGTATAATACAGAGAACTATATTCAATAACTTGTAATAACCTATAAGGAAAAACAGTATGTATATATGTATAACTGAATCACTATGCCGTATACCAGAAACTAACACAGCATTGTAAATCACCTACCCTTCAGTAAAAAATTAAAATGCAGAAATAAAAAAAAAAAAGAAACTGAGTCTTCAAGATGCAGTAAGAATCAGGTAGATAAGAAGTAGGTGGGGGGGGAGTCATTCCAGAGACTGTGGGCATGGCTGCCATGTGCAGTCACGCAGGTGACCCATGGGGACTCTGAGGGGCTGAAATCTAACTTATACTCTGCCCACCAAGCCTCACCCATTGAGGCCTTGTCCACCAGAAGGGGACACCTTTGCTGATTGGTTCCAAGGCTCCCAGGGCTGATGGAGGCTCCGTGTGGAGAAGGGCGTAAGGAAAAGGTGCCGTGCTGGTAAAGAAGGGAATAAAGATGGTGATCAGCCTGAAATGTATAGAAATATTGAATCACAATGTTGTGTACCAGGAACGAACATAGTGTTGTAGGTCAATTATACCTCAAAAACAAACTCATAGAAAAAGAGAACAGATTTGTGGTTACCGGGGTGGGATGGGGGGGGGCGGTGGGAGGACGGGGAATTGGAGGAAGGCAGTCCAGTGGCAGACCAAAAGGTACAAACTTCCAGTTTTACAGTAAACAAGTGCTGGGGATACAAATGTACAACATGATAAATATAATTAACACCACTGTACATTGTATATGAAAGTTATTAAGAGTAAATCCTAAGTATTCTTACCACAAGAAAAAATTTTTTCTATTTAATTTTGTATCTATACAAGATGATAGATGTTGATGAACTTATTAATCACTTCATGATGGATGCAAATCAAACCACTATACTGTACACCTTAAACTTACATAGTGCGGTATGTCAATTATATCTTAAGAAAACTAGAAGAAAAAATGTATTAATCCTATAAAAAAGGAAGGCTAGTTGTAAGTGTCTCCAGGGGGCAGGGAGCAGACTGGACTAGTGGAAACACAAGCCTTAGAGGAAGGGAGAACAGAAAGCAAGGACCATCTGAGCCCCATGTTGGGGCTTTGAACTCCATAGTGAGATCTGACTTCTCAGGAAATGCTAAAACGTGTTGGTGGAAAATCCAACCCCACGTGGGACTCCTCACAGAGGAGCTTCAGTTAGGGCGGCTGAGGAGCAAAGAGCAGGTAAGGATGAGGGACCAGGACCT